AGCATATTAAAAAGCAGAGACATTACTTTGCCCACAAAGGTCCATCTGGTCAAGGCTATGGTTTTTCCAGTGGTCAAGTATGGATGTGAGAGTTGGACTGTGAAGAAAGCTGAGTGCTGAAAAATTGATGCTTTTGAACTGTGGTGTTGGAGAATACTCTTAAGAGTCCCTTGGACTGCCAGGATATCCAACCAGTCCATCTTAAAGGAGATCAGTCCTGGGTGTTCATTGGAGGGACTGGGGCTGAAGCTAAAACTCCAGTACTTTGGCCACCTGATACGAAGAGCTGACTCATTTGAAAAGGCCCTGATGCTGGGAGGGATTCAGGGCAGAAGGAGAATGGGGAGACAGAGGATGAGATGGTTGGATGGCATCACCGACAATGGGTGAGTTTGAGTAAACTCCAGGAGTTGGTGATGGACAGGAAGGTCTGGCGTGCTGCAGTCCATGGGGTCACAAAGAGTCAGACAGAACCGAGCCACTGACTGAAATGTACTGAAGCCATTTTGTCCTTGCTAAAGAAATGTGCTAATTTGTGTCTAAAGAAAAGTTTGTGATATGACTTTTTCTAGATGTCTATAGGATACAGTGAGCCCAGGGCAACTGAGAACAAGGTTGCATTTACAGAATGCTGTATCAAGTGACTGTGCTGAGCATATTACAGACATTAGCTCAATGAATAATCATAACAACCTGAAGCTTGGTTGACTTTGTTCTCAGAAAGGAAAATTAAGCATTAGAGAAATGCATTCGCCTGTTCAAGTTCAGAGTTCGTTTTCAATCTTCAAATTCAGGGTGTGTGCATACTCAGTTTCTAAGTCATGTCTGACCCTTTGGGACCCCATGGACTGTAGCCCTCCAGGCTCCTCTGTCCATGGAATTCTCCAGCAAGAATACTGGAGTGGGTTGCCATTTCCTTCTCCAGGGGATCTTCCCAACCCAGGGACTGAACCCACAGCTCTTGTGTCTCCTGCACTTTCAGGCAGATTCTTTACCACTGTGCCACCTGGGAAGCCCTCTTTAATCCAGGGTACAGCCTTCAAATTTAGGGTTATCTGTTCCCATTAGTTTGCACTGTTGTCTCTTCTTCTCTTTGCCTAAAAAGTCAAGCAGTTTTAATTTTAAAAATGTGTGTGTGCTCAGTCATGTCCGACTCTTTGCAACACCATGGACTATAGACCACCAGTCTCCTCTGTCCAAGGAATTTTCCAGGCAAGAATACTGGAGCAGGTTGCCATTTCATCCCTTCTGGGTAGGGGATCTGCCCGACCTAGGGATTGAACCCTGGTCTCCGGCATCTCCTGCATTGGCAGGCGGATTCTTTAGAACTGAGACACCTGGGAAGCCATTTAAAAAGTAGCTACCTTCCTATCTGCCACCTGAGAAGGTGGCTTCCTCCTGGATCACAGTGGTGGTCCCCTGCTCCTACTAATCCTTGCCTGTAACCAGGCCTCCCTCCTCCTCTTTGTCTTAGTTCACTCCTAAGTGTTTCTCGTGTCATCTTTACACTCATCCTAATGCACACAAATCACTTTTACAGACAGTGTCACAAGGATGAAGAGAGCAATCCATCAGTGGTGACATTTCCTTGATGAAGCGTGGTTTGTCTCTCTGGGGCCTGAGAGGGGAGGGAGGGATTATGGTTGGTGAGAGGCTTTCAAGCCTAACCAGCATATTATTGGGGGGGGGGAGGGCTGCCAATTTGAAAATCTTATTTATGTCAGTGTTTTTGAGATATAAGGGATAAAGAGCATGCTGGTCAAAAATATAATAAATGGTTTGATGGCTTTCTCATAGTTACTCTTACATCTCCTTCTGTTTTTTACTCCTTGATAATTGTCCTAATATCTGGTTTGTACTACCATCTCAGTGTATAGTCAGGTTCGATGTTTGTACAGAGTGATTACTATGTATGAAGTGTTGCCTAGGTGTCCTAACTAGTGCAAAGAGCCATTATCATGAAGATTTAAAGACAGTGATGACTATGTGAGTGAATGAGATTTGGATTATCTTGCTTCCCGTTGGTTGTTTTTTTTTTTTTTTAATATTTATTTGGCTGCACTGGGTCTTAGCTGTGGCATGTAGGATCTAGTTTCCTGACCCGGGAGTGAACCCAGGTCCCTGGCATTGGGAGTACAGAGTCTTAGCCCCTGGACCTCCAGGAAGTCCCGTCTCCTGTGTTTCTCACATACGTGCTGGCTCCTTGAGATGACATGCACTGCAGTCCTCGTGTTAAGCTGGAGAAGAGCCAAATGGTAAAGAAGAGTGAGAGTGAAAGTGTTAGTCATGTCCAGCTGTTTGGGACCCCGTGGATTATAGCCCTTCAGGTTCTTCTGTCCATGGGATTCTCCAGGCAAGAATACTGGAGTGGGTTGTCATTCCCTTCTCCGGGGGATCTTCCCGACCCAGGGATCGAACTCGCATCACCTGCATTGGCAGGCAGATTCTTTACCCTCTGAGCTCCCAGGGAGGCCCACAACTATGGTAGGTCCTTGGCAATTCATAGCACTGCTTACTGCTGATACTAGTGGTGCAATGGGTTCATCATGAACACCTAGAATCCCGTTTTATTATGGTCCAATTAAAGTGTATGCCGTAGAGCTTGGATATCAGATAGTTGTTAAGGGCCCATGGATGGGCCAGCACTGGATAGCATGCCTTATGGTGACTGATATCCAGACATTTCTAGAAATAACCCTTCTTTTGGCTGATCTTGGAAAGAGTATGGGGAGAAGAATTATATTGTTATTAAAGGAGCCATCTTTCCTCACTCTTGCCAAGTTCCTTTTTTGGCTGGCTCTAGTGATTAGGGAGAAGTTGAAAACAGTGATTTCCTAATCCATTCTTTAGGGTTGAAACAGCATAACTATTATTATAAATTTACATTAGGAAAATTAAACAAAATACGTACTGTACAGAAAATTAAGCTTAATGAAATTTCTTCATCTGAAAGGAATGGACTGAGGGTTTTCTTTATTTGGCTTTGGTGACTGGAGCTGGTATACAGTTCTTTTTCCCATCCTAGGGCTATGTCAGTTTGTGGGGCCTTGAATTTTTATGTTTCTCTTGAAGGCCATGGTTTTAGGACTTCCCTGGTGGTGCAGTGGATAAGAATCTGCCTGCCAGTGCAGAGGACACAGGTTTGATCCCTGGTTCAAGAAGATTCCCTCAAACTTATTTTGAACTACAGGAAAAAATACTGTTACAACACAAGCTAACTCCCATGTATCCAGGGAAACAGAATTGTACAAAACAGTGCTTTCTCTTCCCAGAGTGAGATGCAGTCTGTTCCATTCTGTTCTATGACATCGCATTCCACTCCAACAAAATCCTGTTTGGTGAGCTACTAAATTGATCTCATGACCCATTAATGGTGGTGCCGCCCACAATTCTAGATCTCAGATGATCGTGGTCTAGACTTGAATGGTGATCACTAGCTTGTCTTGGATTTGTCAGGCTGGCTGAAATGAATTGGCTTTGAAGGAATGGATGGGGAAGTTAAGGGTGTGATCAGAATACTACTTTACTTGATGACACTGAACTGTATTAAATGCAAGTTATCAATATTTACTGACATCTTTCCATGCACCTAGTGTTGTGTCAGATATGAGAACCACAAAAATGAATTATTCAAGCCCACACCAGGCATTTCCTAAATTTTCTTCTATGTTGCACCATACAAATTGTATTAAATATACGTTCTTAATCACCAATTTCTTTGCCAAGGCAAATAGCTGTTTATAAGTGGACATTTAGGCCCACTTATTTACTTTTCTCATGTACTCTTAAGTATTGAAAATATGGTGTCCCACTGAAACATCATGCCTTATAACTTGTTTTCAGAGGATTTCCAAGTAATTAGAGGGAAGCTGTTTTGAGATGATGCTAATCTGAATTTCTCATAACTGTGTGGACATTTTAAGCACTTTGCTGAAGAGACTACAAGTGTAGAAGCAGTGACAAAAAAAATCTGGCTTCCATTTCAAGCGAGTGACGTAAGAGAACTAAAACCCATGATTAAGAAAAATGAAATTGTATAAATTATAGCAGAAATGCCTGTCATCACCCGTATTAGCTGCTAAAATGCCTCCAGGGGGTTAGATTAGAAAAAGAAAATTACTTATCTGTAATTCTTATTCTCTTTAGGTAGCAATTATAATAGATATACACTCTTGGGTGTAAGTCATTGGTGTGAGAACCAGGAGTAGACTAGAAGTCAGCTAAAGAATTATAACCCTCAAGGAAGATGCACCCTGGGACGTCAAGGGCAGGATGTATATAGAATGTCATTGCCCCCAAATGTCATTCCTATCTGACCATCGGAAAGAACTGGCGAATTTAGTCCCTTGGAAGAAAAGAACGACTGAGCAGATCTATTATTATTATGATCATATATTAAATGTATAAAGGTCTAGCCCGAGGCAGAATTTGTGAATTGGGTCTACTCATTTTCTCTCTGTGACTCTCTGCCTATTTCAGGAATCCAATACCTTCTTGCCATCTCTCTCACTCCGCTCTTAGGAAATACCTCATTCAACGTATTTACACTGAAGTCGAAACGTTCATTTGGAAGGGAATGAGGAACCATGGGTTTGGTGCTGGCTTGGTTACCAGATTATTCTCTGGTAGGTATCAGGGGAACCCTGTCACCTCTTTGGGCTCCAACATCCTCCTTAATACAATAAACGGGTTGAACTAGGATGTGTAATTTCTAGGAACACTTTCATTTTCATGATTCTTGGTGAAATAGACAGGCTAAATGTTAGGCTAATTTTAGCCTAAAGTGTTAGGCAAAAAAAGTTACTGGTGAATGTGGCATTGAAACATGAGTAGAACAGGACTTCCCAGGTGGTCCAGTGGTTAAGAATCCGCCTTGAAATATAGGAGACGCAGGTTTGGTCCCTGGTTGGGGACCAAAGATCCCACATGCCGAGCAACTAAGTCCTCCTGCTTCCGATGAAATGTGTCCACAAATACTTGGGGACATCATTCTGCCATACTTCAGATTCCACTCTGAACTCCTTTACTCAGTTCTTCCTTGAAAAGAAAGAGCTTTTTTTCTGGGAAGGTTTCTGGTAAAAGTCTAGTACAGGATGGCAGGAGCTGTGTCGAGTCCATTTCCACTTCTCTAGTCCTGTTCATGGCACTCAAGTAGTGCTTGCTTATTGAAGAGCTCAGAGCTCATAGCTTCCTGGTAATAAGGACTTCGATGAGGTGCTCAAACTTTATCCCAATTGGAGAAAGCTCGCAAGAAACAACTATTAGCAGTGATGGTCTATCCTTCTTTAGTTAAAAAATAAAAGTCTGACAGTGGTAGTCATCTTTGGCCGAGGTTTGTGATTCCACAGGAGTTTTAAAAACATAGAAGTCTCCTGGACCCCACCCATACAGATTCTGTTTCCCTGGGTTGACATCAAGATTTTCTTTCAAATTTCTTTAGATGCTACTAATGGGCAGCCAAAGCTGAGAGTCACCAGAGAAAGAAATAGAACTGACTGTTACTATCGAGGTTGTCTGGTTAAAATCCAGGACTCAGGTAAAGCTGATAGCCGATGAATAATTTTAGTAAAATTCTGTATACCAAATACTGCTTGGAGCATGCACAAGCTAAATAATTACAAGTTTTTCAGAAATTCAAATTTCACTGTGTGTCCTGTGTGTTTATTTGCTGTATCTGGCAAACCTCGTGGCTATAAAATTGTTCCTCACAGGCTAACCTTGTTAGAATCTCCGTCTGCAGTGATGTCTGTGCTGCGCAGTGTCAGCCTAGCTGTGCTCGGGTCCCTCCAGCTGCTTGTGCAGGCGTGACTGTTCCCAGAAAACAACTTTCTCAGAACTGAAACACCTGATACAGGAACACGCACTGAACGTCACAGGGTGTCAGCCGTAAGCAGGCAGGCCTAGGAACAAGCAACTGAAACGGACCTTGGAGAACTGCACGGAGAATGAAAGATGGAGAGGCTGATCCATTGTATCAACAGTTTATCTACAGCTCAACCAAAGGTGAGAAGGACGAGCACCTTGTTTTACATGTTCCCCAACCAGGCTGAGTGAAGTAACTTAATTGGGTAATTCCCAGTCAGAATGTGTCACAGATGACCAGTGTGTGCGTGGAGAAAGAACCTCTGCCCTTTGTCCCACGTCTGCAGTGCATAGACGGCGGCACTGTCCACCACGGCGGAGTTGGCCCTTCACTCCTCAGCTGGGCAGGTGGTGCTCTTGAGGCCTTGGGAAGGTTCCAGAAGGGCAAGGCCTCTCACTGGTCTGCTTCTTCTGTCCCCTTTCTGTGTTAATGAGATTTACAACCCCGCTTATTGGTCTTTGGGCTCTTGGGTTGACACTCACCCTACTGGGAAACCATGATGTTTGCAAGTTTTGGGGTGGGATTCCTGGCTGTATTGCTAGGCACTGAAATGCTTATTTATTCTCAGCTTGGAGAGATTATACTCTCTTGGAACCAGAAGAAGTTGTATTTCTTTTCTTTCTTTTGGGTTGAACTGTGTAGCTGTTGGGATCTCAATTCCTGGACCAGGGATGTGGACTACCAGGGAAGCCCCCAAAGGTACATTTCTGAATAAGCTGGATGATTAGAATTGAGACAGAATTCACCATAAGAATGACACTTTTCCAACACGTTACCACTTTCTTATAGCTTTGCTTCTGATTCTAACAGTGACCGTGCCGGTTGGTCTTTTTAAAAACATACGGATTCCTAAGTCATTCTCTTGTCAACTCTAAGGCAGTGAGGTTGGGGCGGGACCCAGACTGTAGTTTAAAGACTAGCCTTTTAGAAAATTAGTAGAGACTATTGTATCTGAAAATTATCTTTGACATTTTAAAAAATTGAAGTATAATTGACATTATATTAGTTTCATATCTACAACATAGTGATTCAATACTTTTTATGTATTAAAAAATAATCAGCATGATAAATCATGTTACCATCTGTCGTACAAAGTTATTACAAAGTTATTGACTGTATTTCTTGTGCTGAACATGACATGCTGTGACTTATTCATTTTATAACTGGAAGTTTGTACCTTTTAATCTTCCTCACTCATTTCATCCATCTCCCCACCCTGGGATTCTTGATTAAAGTTCTAGAAACCCCAGATGCTTTGGGGAGCAGCAAGAATAAATTTAAGTGAAAAAATTTACTATCTCTTTTGAAAAGTTGTTGATATTTGCAGTTTACTTTAAAAATTATGTTGGAAACCTTTAGTAAGTATAACACAAGTTGTAAGGTGGAAATGTGAAAGTGGGTTAATTATTGGTTTCTTTACCCCTATTACTTTTGGTGTCGGTGGGGACCAATTGAGGAAGATTCTCTCTTTTAGAATTTGTTAAATTTAATCTATTTACACACTTAACTTTGGCTGAGTATCTATAACTTATCAGGCACTGTGTTAAACTCTAGAGGCATAAACTCTGAAAGAGTCTTGCTCCTTGCCTCTCAGAGGCTCATAGTGTATTGGGCAGACAGAGATGTATGTGTACAGATTCTAATAAACATGATTTATGATGTAATAGGGGCTTCCCTGATGGCTCAGGAGTAAAGAATCTGCCTGCCAATCAAGGAGATTCGGGTTTGATCCCTTGGTTGGGAAGATCCCTGGAGAAGGAAATGGCATCCCGCTCCAGTATTCTTGCCTGGGAAATCCCATGGAAAGAGGAGCCTGGTGGGCTACAGTCCATGGGGTCGCAAAGAGTCAGACTTAGCGGCTTAGTGACTAAGCCACCACCGTGATATAATGGGGGTATGAATTACAGGGTATGGGAACACAGAAGGGGGAAGATCTGGCTCTGTTGGGTCCAGTCAGACTTCAAAAGGTGACACAGGGTCTTGGCCAGGGTTCCTGGAGGCTCGTGAGTCTCCAGCTGCGCTCGGAGTTGAGTTGACAGCTTCAGGTCCCTTTCCCGGCAGGGTGCACTTGCTCAGAATCCAAGTGAGATGGCTTGCTGCCTCCGTCTGCCGGGACGGCTATGTGTATCAGGTCCTTGAGAGAGTTTGTAAATAAAGTCAGCCTCAGCTGAACCAGAGGGGCTCTGTCTGAGCTTGCGTCTGCGCCCCCTTCCAGGAGAGGGTGGGAGGAAGGCAGTCTCAGGGTGGAAGCTGATGGATCTCACACCACACTTCTTCGGTCTTTAAAGAAGTGTGCCCGCGTCTTTGCAGCTCTTCTCCCAGGTGTGCAAATGTCAGAGAGACTGACGCCAGCGTTCAGTGACCTGTGATCACGGCTCCTTCCAGCCCTCGGTCTTTCTGCCTTGCTGAGCTCATTCCATGGACAATAACCCCACACGGAGAGTTTGGAAAGGGCACCAGGTGAACCTCACCTGCTCAGATTAACTTCGAGCTTCTCTCTGAAGCCTTCATGGCCCTCAGTCCTGTGGTTTCCTGGTGGAGTTCTCCCCTCTCTGGTTTTTATGCAGTTTTAACTCTCTCCATTGATTCTACCTCTCCTCTCTCTCCCTCCTGCTTTCCTGTCCCCTCTGCACCTCCCAAACTGCCTAAAACCGCTTGTCATCCTTTGCTTTGATGGCAGCCACGGTAAGTAAAGCCAGGGAGAAGGCAGGACCTGCCGGAGAGGGGCGAGGTCGCAGAAGCTGCCGTTTGAGCCCGGGGCTCTTCTCTGCAAGTCACAGGAATGGCCTCTTTCCTGCCCCCATGGCTGTTTGCTCTGATCCTCACCTCGGGCAAAAAAAGCAGAATGCTGAGCAGCTCTTTGAGCTCCCTGGAATGCAGAGCAGCTCTTTCAGAGGCTTGTGTCTGTCCAGCTGTGTCTGGGTCGCCTTTGTCCCAGCGTGTGGAGAGAGGAGTAGGGGAGAAAGGATGGGGGGACACCAAGGCCGGAGAGAAGTGGGTTTCTAAGGCTACAGCTCTGAGACGGGTTTCCTCTCTGAGCTCCGTGACCCCGCATCTTCGTGGTGATGGATTTGCCTGAGAATGTAACTTCCTATTTTGGAGTCATCAATGATCAAAAACATCAAAGCTTTTAAACTCTGGGCTCCTCTAGAGGAAAAACTATCACTAATTTGTGTGACTGAATGCTGACAGCGATGCAGAACCTACCCAGCCAGGGCTGCTGGATTCTGATCTCGGATGCCCAAATAAAATGAGAAAATCAACGTGGAGAAAAAAATGAGCTGCCCTTTATGTGCCAGAATTTTACCTACTTGTCTCATTTAAATATACGCTCATGGCTCTCGGGGAGCTTTCCTGGTGGCTTAGTGGTAAAGAACCCGCCTGCCAGTGCAGGGGATGCAGGTTCAATCCCTAGATCAGGAAGATCCCGTGGAGGAGGAAATGGGCAACCCACTCCATTGTTCTTGGCTGGAGGATCCTGGACAGAGGAGCCTGGCGAGCTACGGTCCATAGGGTCGCAGAGAGTCAGCCACGACTGACCGACTGAACAACACATGGTCCTCTGAGGAGGTGTCCTTGTTCCGTGACAGAGGCCGAGGGAGGCTTCAGGGAGTTTCGGGCAGAGCACAGGGCAGAGTCGGGTTTCAATCGAGGTGTGGCCGCCCGGCCGCTGAGCTCAGAAGGGTGGCTGTCGTCCTGACCTGGGGAAGCAGGCGCACTCGGTTCTGATCGGGCAGTTTATGCGCGCTGGAATCTGACTGCAGACTTACTGGGTGTGTCTGACAGAAATGGCACCCGAAAGAGAGAGGGTTTATGCAGGAAACACAGCTGATAGAAAGACTTCCGTCTTCCCTCCCTCCCTGACCTACTGGAAAGCACAGGGAACCAAGCTCATATTTTGTAATAACCTAAAATGGAAACGGGGCTTCCCAGGGGGCTCAGTGGTGAAGAACTCACTTGCTGATGCAGGGGATGGAAGATCCCTGGAGGAAACAGTGGCAACCCACTCCAGTATTCTTGCCTGGGGAATTCCGTGGACAGAGGAGCCTGGCGTGCTGCAGCCCATGCGGTCGCGCAGAGTCGGATATGACTGAGTTCACTCACACATACACATACACATACAATGGAAAAGAGGATAGGCAGATAACTGAATCACTTTGCTGTAAACTTGAAACGAACACAAATTGTAAATTAACTGTATTTCAATAAGAAAAAAAAGAACATCTGCCAAATTGTAGTCATCTCTCGATATTGGTTGTGGGAGTCTAATGAGAATCTCCTTATAATTTTCTAGAGCCTCCCTCATAAAGAGTAAGTATATTGTAAAACCGTTTATAGCCTTTATAAAAATATTTTGACTATTTTACCCAACTACCTGAATAGGACACCTGATACTAGTCAAGGGGGGAGAAAAAAAGATTTGCCTTTCCAGTCAAGCCTTCTAGACTCCAGAGGAGGGCTGAGAAGAGACAAGTCTCTTTTTTATTAAAGAGACATGAGGGTCACGTCTGTCTTATCAGGGCCGAGTCTCCGCGGTGGTGAGCATTCCGTAGTCCAGGCAGATGTTACACTCAAATGCTGCACACCTGAACTTTATATAAAAAGTAATCTTTGGAATTTAATTTATTTTTTATTTTTTTGGCCATGCGGTGCAGTATGTGGGATCTTAGTTCCCTGACCGGGGATTGAACCTGTGCCCCCTGCATTGGAAGCTCAGAGTCTTACCCACTGGCTTGCCAGGGAAGTCCATAAAAAATAAAACTTTAAGTCTCTTTGCTTCTCATGCTTTATTTCTAATATCTTCAATAAGGGGTTCTGCTCCTGGCTCCCACTTGAGAGAAGCCAAGCATTTTGTTGAGATGGTGTCCACATGACTGTCTATCAAAGATTGAGGTGATGTCTACACGACTGTCTCTCAAAGGAATGTAGAGGCCAACACGCTGTATAGGACACGTCCAGGGATGTCACATCCACACCCTGAACCTTGAAAAGGTGTCCTTTTCTCCAGAGGATTCAGTCCCTCGGGGTAGCAGCTTGGACCTCTGCCTGCCTCCAGCCCCGATAGCCAAACCCCCACCCATGTGAGCACCTGGCCGACCTTGACCTTGCACATGTCCACCCTCATGCAACTCCTTCTGCACCTTTTCATCCCCAAAGCTTGTGTGTTTACCAAACAGACCTTACTCTTAGTGTCAGCCAGGAATCCAGAAGCCAGTTCTTATTTCACGTATATGGACAGAGAGCTAATAAATACAAGTGGATGATGTCCACAGCATATAGGAAAACAGCCGCAGCAACCAGCCCAGGAAACCCATCCATCATCTGCAATAGTCAGCCCTGGCTGCCAGCCTACTCTCTCTAAGACAGGTTTATGTCACACTACTATCTCCAATAATAATCCAGGAAGCCAAACAATAACCCCTGTGACGATCATCCTCAAATGGTCAGGACTGAATAACTGGTAGCTTCCCTAATTCTTGTCCCCACCTCCAACTTAGAACCAAGCCGAAACAAATCAAATATGCACTCCTACCCAATCACAGGGGAGGAGGAAATGGCAATCTACTCCAGTATTCTTGCCCGGAGAATCCCATGGACAGAGGAGCCTGGCGGCTGCAGTCCATGGGGTTGCAAAGAGTTGGACAGGACTGAACGACTGACACACACACACTTGTCCTAACTGCCACTTCATACGGTAGCTTCTTGACCAGTGGTTCTCAGGGAGCGATATGTCTTGTGTGGGAATTTGGGTTAGTAGAGTGGAGGGCTGGACAGGGAGAGAAAGGAGAGAATGATGGATGATGAGGGGAAGAAGAGAGGAGGAGGGTAAGTAAGCCTGGAACCCCAGTTCCAGTTGG